TTTTTTTGTAGGCCTAACTACGATTATGTGGAGATTTCAAAGTAACGTTAAATAAATTTCTACTAAAAGACTATCACATTCTACCAACGTTTGAAGAATTAATAGCAAAAATAGCGAATGGAAATAAATATAAAACATTAGATCTCAAAGATGCATATCTACAAATGAGCATTGACGATGAATCGCAAGAATTATTAACAATGGTAACACCAAATGGATAATACCGCTAATTACGATTACCTTTTGGTATACCTACAGCACCAATAATATTTCAACGATATATGGACGATTTACTGGCTGATTGTAAAGATACAGCAGTTTATTTAGATGATGTTATAATTACAGGGAAAAATGATACTGAACATATAGAAAATATAAAACAAGTCCTCAAAAAATTACAAAATGCGGGATTAAAAGTTAAAACAAGCAAAATAAATTTTATGAAAGAAAAATTATCATATTTAGGATACATAATAGATCAAAATTGAATACACCCTGATAAAAATAAAATAATAGCAATACAAAAATATCCAACGCCAAAAGATAGACATGACATAAATTTTTTTTTAGGTATATTAAACTATTATACACGGTTCATACCAAACTTACATGGAATCATAGCCGAATTACATAATAAAACTAGTAAAAATGTTAAATGTAATTGGACTAAAAAAGATGATGCGTTATTTGAAAAAGCAAAAGGAATAGTAACAAAACACAATACTATACAATTTTATAAACCGGATCTTGAGTTTATACTAGAAACAGATGCATCAAACCAAGGATTTGGAGCAGTACTCTTGCAAAAATATGAAAATGGTAACAAATACCCTATAGCTTACACCTCGAGAACTTTACAAGATGCTGAAAGTAAAAAAATTTCATAACTATTTGTATGGACGAAAATTTAAAATACGAACGGACCATAAACCTTTAATAAAAATATATGGGGATAACAGAGATTTAAAAGCCTTAACAAACCAAAGATTGTTATGTTGGGCTAATAAATTATCTGCATATGATTATGAAATAATGTATAATAATGGCGCAAGTAATATAATTGCAGATGCTTTATCGCGAAACCCAATAGAGAAAAATGATAATAAAATAACAAGTGAAATACATACGAAATCTTACTTATGACACATTAACTCTATAAAGAAAAGAACTTAGAGATGAAACTGAGAAAGATCCAATTTTAAGAGTAAAAATATTATTAAATGGTACAAATATACAAAATCAAGCACCAGAATTACAAGCTTTTAGAACAAGAATAGATGAAATAGAAAATGATGAGGGTATCCTATTTTGGAATGGTCGCTTAATAATTCCATATTCACTACAAAAACGAGTTTTACAGATATTACATACAGGTCATCCTGGTATTACATCGATGAAATCCATTACGAGACATTATATATGGTGAGAAAAATTAGGTAAAGATGTCGAAAAATTAGTCAACCGCTGTATTGGGTGTCAAAAACATCGCAGAGATATACCAGAAATTGCCGTATACCCATGGAATCCGCCAGCACAACCTTGGGAAAGGGTACATTTAGATTTTGCCGGACCACTAGACGGATTTTATTGGCTGGTAGGAATCGATGCATATTCAAAATGGATAGAGATCGATAGAATCAAAGATACCACAAGTAAAAATTTAATAAATAGATTAGAAAAATGGCTTACACTATATGGTGTTCCACGTCAAATTGTCATAGACTATGGTCCATTTTATATTTCTCAAATTTCACTACAAATAATTTTATTTCAATATTTTCACTTTATTTCAAAATCTAATAAATTCCAACAGTATAATCATAAAATTCAATATCAAATAATTCAAATTCCAATTTATAAATATTCAACTCATTTTTTAAAATCACCGACTGAATAAATTATTACTTTTACAATAAAAACATATTATTAAAAGAATAATAATCTGATTGACATCTCTTGAAAATATATAAACATTTTTATTTTTCTCTTTAATTCAACATTTGCAACAGTCCACAATTCATTTCAAATGAATTTTACAAATGGTGCAAAAATAAGAATATACAACACATAAAAACTACACCATACCATCCGAGAAGTAACGGATTAGTTGAAAGATGCAAACTATAAAAAATCGGTATTTTGCTAATAGAGAACAAACAAATGACGGGGAAAAATGCCTTAATGAAGTATTAGTTACATATAGAAATTCCGAACATTCCTCAACGGGCCGAATACCTGCCAAACTATTTGTGGGGAGAAGACTAAATACTTTATTAGACTTGGTGAAACCATCAATTACTGAAAAATTAGAAATCTCTGTAGTAAAACACGACCAGTAAAACAAAGGTATACATAGAGATTTTGGAAAAAACGAATTAGTTTGGATAAAAAATCCACTTGAAAAAGGATGGCATGAAGGAAAAATAATAAATCAACATGCAAAATTCTCGTATAACGTAGAAGGAAGAGATAAAATAGTATGAAAACACGCAGATCGACTACGAATAAGGGAAGAACCAGACGAAACCAAATCAATAATACAAATTGAACCAAATCAAAAAGGAAGGCAACCGCTTTATCCAACAAGTGACGAAAGCCAACAAAAAGATTAATAGATGAACTTGAACTTGGCAATATAAAGATTGATAGACGATCTTAACTGGGTGGGAAAGAAGATATGTTATATTTGAATGTTTATATATATTTTAAAAGGTTACGCTATTTGAATTATATATTTCTTACATTTTATATTATCTTATGGAGGTCAATGTAATTGCATATTAGTAGAAGTTAAATGAATTATAAAAGACTATATATAGGAAACAATTTTATAATAAAGAATCTATTGTTTTGACTATAAAAGTTGGCTTGTAAAAGAATGACTGGTAGTCATACATATGATAAAATAGCAAAAAATTTACAAGATATAGCAAAGGATTATTGCATACAAAATAAAATCTCAAAGACCTTTACTGATAATGCCAAAAACTTTATTAAGTCTTTTAGGTTTATTTTTATTATAAATATAATATTACTTATTTATGATAGAGTTTTCAAGCCAATTGAAAATATTAGTGAATCCATTGATGATCTGGAAGATGAAGAAACAGTCGCACAAATATCAATATCAGGTGTTTATACTACTGCTCAGGATTTTGAAATATCAGAATCATATATTTTACCTATTCATCAATGTTGTGCCAGTCACGCATTGAATCTTGTTCCCACTGTAGATGCAAATGAAGCCTTGCAGTGTAAACAAAATCAGGGGGTAAAACTATAATTTTAATTATAATATTTAATATTTTATTCCTTAGATATATAGCACAACATTGTCTAAATGCCAAAATATATGGAATAGACAAAATTAATCTCAAAATTCAGCTGAGATTATAAAAAATATTGGCCGATATTTTATATGTCCCAATATAACTAGATGGAACTCCACTTATAATGCTTTACAATTAATGTCAGAAATTATTAAGACTAAATTTGAAAAATTGGACAAAATTTGCGATGTAATAAAATTACCTAGATTTTTATCTAATGAATGTGATTTTATTCATGAATATTGTTTAGTAAGTTATAAATAAAATTTGTATATACAGCATTATTTTAAATTAGCTAATGAAGCCAGTAGCAAGTTCACTTGATATCCTGCATGGAGATAAATATATGTTCACAGCTTATTACTATGCAACTATTCCCAGCTCATTATTAAATTGAAAAATTTTAAACAAATGAACCTGATATTTTGTTTACTACCTTAAATGACTTACTTAAAGGGATTGAAGATAATAAATTAATCAATATTTAATAATTCTAGGTTTATTGGGACAATTTTTGAAGATGAAAATATTTTGGCAACTATGCTTCATCCTTTTTTTAAACTAGATTGGACATGGTTGCAAAAGGATGAAAATTTAAAAAAAAAAAAATTAATACAAAGATTAGTTGAGGAATTATCAAAGTCTTCAAATGAGTGCAAATTAACCTGTGAAAAAAAAACCAATAATTTAATATCCGATTTTTTTCATTATCCCACAGCAGGAGATATGATTGTAAATGATTTAAATTCTGATAATCAACAAATTTTAAATAGTTTTTCCAAAAATGAATGCCGAGATTATTTTTAAACAATATCCTGATATAAAAATGTTTTTCATTAAATATAACACCACAATCCCTTCCAGGTCCCCTGTTGAAAGACTTTTTAGTATAGCTAAAAATGTCTTTACAGATAAACGAGGATGTCTTAATGACCAAAATTTTGAAAATATTTTATTACTGAAATCTAATAATTATTTATAATCATTTAATCATATATTATATTATTTTATTAATGATATATAATAATTATTTATATTAATCATATATTATATTAATATCTAAAAACCATTATTTTATTTATATTTTGATAAATGTGATATCGAGTCAATAAATTTTTTAGATCATTTCATGAATTTTCACAATAGAATCCTAATTTAGGTTTATTCAAATCTTATCTAAGAGTGTAATAAAAAATGTATCTGTACCCTGATACATTTTAAATTGTATCTGTATATATAACTTTTTAGAAGCTGCATCTGTATCTAGATAAATTTTTAGATGTATCTGTATCTAGATTCATTTAAAAAGTATCTTTTAACAACTCTGCTAACTGGAATTAATAGAGAAGCAAAAAAACGAATATTTAGAAGCTATTATAAATAACAGAGACCTGCAGACCCGACCCGGCTAGTATTTTAAATTTTTCCAGGCCATGCCTAAAAAAATTTAAAAAAAAAAATACCCTTGCCGGGCTTAAAATTTTTTTTTAAAAAAATACCAAGGCAGGACCTTATCTTTTAAATCGTTAGCTATAAAATTAAAAATAAATGTAATATATTTTTAAAATAAAAAATTCGGGCCGTGCAAATGGTACGATCTCTGATAAATAATAAATTTTGTATTTATAATTATGTAATAAATTTACGTAATGTTTTAGATTACGAACGGCATTGAAATCCATTTGTCATTTATTACGATGAAATATATAAAACAATTTAGAATTTTATAATCTTAAAGTAAATTAAAAGTATAAAATTGAACTGAACAAAAGTAAAGGTTTTTTATATCATCGCTTGTTAGGATGATATTAAATAACACATGTTTGGTATTAATTTTCAAAAATGTGATAGCTTGATGATTTTCTTCTCAGGTTTGTTCCAGATTCTTGATATAAATTATTCAATTAAATATCTCGGATCACGCAGATAAGCTTGCAGTCTGTCAGGAATATTCAATTCATGTAATTGATCTCTATTAATCATAGATAGTATTTTGTACCTTAAAATTAAATATATTATAATAAATTTTTTACATTTAATCATTATTAATAATCTGCCTCTCCATATAAAGCTATTTTTTTGCAAGCATTATTAAAAAAAACACATTTACAATTTAAATTTAAACTTTTAAAATTTAAAACAACTAATTTTTTTTCTTTAAAGTTTGTTAAGTGACCGATTTTTTTTTCAAAATAAGTTTTTATCTATAAATTGGAAAACCTTTCTAATTAATTTAAAAATAGAAAAATTATTATTGAAATTATGATAATTTTTTAACTTTTCTTTTTTTTATATAATAGTTTCAAAAATGAATCTGTTAAATCTTTATTTAAATGTATATTTATTCTATATCAAAGATGAATTACATTTACTTTTCTATTTGCATTGCACGATTATAATATAAAGAAAAAAATATATCCATGGGTAATTGGTTAAAGTATCTAGATACAAGTATATAGATACTGTATCTAGATATAAAAATGTGGTATCTGTATCTAGATAGATTTTTGATTAAAGTATCTGTATTTAGATATTATTTTAGAGGTATCTGTATTTGTTTTAAGATAATTTTGATATACTTCTATTGCTTTTTTATATTATAAATAAAAATACTTGAATGTAAAATTTATTTTATTTCATATGAGCATATAACTTAATATTAATATAAATATTAAAAAATTATATATATGGTGAATTCCATATCAAATCAACCAAGGTTTCAACCCGACCCCTTTCAATTTTTTTTAAATTTTGCATACTGGTGGTATATACTATAACTAAGAAAAAAATGAAATTTTACCTCCCAAAAAGGCTTACCCGCTAAGATATGGGCATTTAAAGCGCGGAAAAATGGTACATTTTTGACAAAAAGTGCCTCATTTATTTTCAAATATCTCGAGAAATAATTAAGTTAGAAAAATAATTTAAATTTTATTATGTAGCTTAATAATAGTTCTTTAATATGACATAAAAATAAATATGATATAAATTTGATGAATGTCCAAAACCGGATGTATAAAACCGGAAATGGCCATAGAAAAAAAAAGGTATTTTTTTTTTCGAAATTTTTTTTCCGTAGATAGATATAACACTGCTTTATATTTGTGCCAAATCCTAGCCTGGGATGAAAAAGGGTCTAGGAGTTATGACTCTTTATATGGCTTAAATTGATCAAAAATATCTTCATTTAATGAATACTTATGAAATAATGTTTTTTTTAAAATTATGTCTAAATGATAGGCCCTAACTTTTTTTTATTTTTAATTGTTAACATATTGTGAGTGAATAGATTTGCATTCTTACGACCCAAAAACTGTGTTTTAGCAGGTGGTCCAGGCACACATACCATGTGTATCTGCACACTACACCAAAATTTTAAGCTTATTTTAATAGGGGGAAAATTAAAACAGCTTACAAACAATAATGATCATTATAATTATCCTCCAATAAACGATTATAAACATTGTATTGCACAAAGTCTTTGCAATCCTGCCCAGCCTGGATGTTACTTCAATAAATGTAAATTTGTCCTGGATCATCCCAAATAAAAGAAAGACTTATTATATTATTTGATACGAATTCAATAGATTATATATCATTTAAACAATGGTTGGTAGTTGATAGAACTACGCTCGAAACGCTGACAAAATCAGCTTATAAATTCCTAGATTATTTAATTGAGAAATTAGACAATTTGATTCCACATTCATTTATAGCATCACAACAATCATTATTTCAAAACAATTTAAAATCTAATTTAAATGTTGGCGAATACTTAGTTATTGCTGACTTTTCGGAAAATTATGCATTTTTAGTGCAAGACCATGCACAGGGATTTCATTGGACAAATAATCAGTCCACTATTCACCCTTTTATCATTTATTATCGTCAGGACAACACTATAAAACATATAAGTTTAGTGGTGATATCAGATTGCTTAAAGCACAATGCCTGTGCCTTTTATTTATTTCAAACTAAAATGATCTTATTTTTAAAAGAAAGATTTGATACATTGACCAAAATTTATTATTTTTCTGATTGGGGCCGTAATCCAATATAAAAATAAAAAAAATTTCATAAATCTCTATAATCATGAATGTGATTTTGGTATAAAGGCCGAGTGGCATTTTTTTGCTACAGCTCATGGAATAAGTCCGTACTACAGTTTAGGAGGTATTACAAAACGGCTAGCAGCTCGAGCTAGTTTGCAACTGCCATATCAAAACCATATTTTGACACCATTGGATTTATTCGACTTTGCATCAAATAATATACATGGAGTAAATTACATTAATGAATACAATAATATGGAAAATCATCTAGAAAGCAGATTTTTGAGAGCAAAAAGAATTCCGGGAACACAAAAATACCATGCTTATATTCCCCTTGATGAAAATAAAATTAAAGTCAAAATTTATACCAATTCTTTAGATAATTTAATATATGATATATTGTAAACATAATTATGAATTATTATATTATATGTAATTATGCATTTCAGAAAAATAAAGTTATAAATTGGTTTAGAATTATTTTATCAAGTAATTTTCAGTCACAACATGTTAACAATTAAAAATAAAAAAAAGTTAGGGCCTATCATTTAGACATAATTTTAAAAAAAACATTATTTCATAAGTATTCATTAAATGAAGATATTTTTGATCAATTTAAGCCATATAAAGAGTCATAACTCCTAGACCCTTTTTCATCCCAGGCTAGGATTTGGCACAAATATAAAGCAGTATTATATCTATCTACGGAAAAAAAATTTCGAAAAAAAAAATACCTTTTTTTTCTATGGCCATTTCCGGTTTTATACATCCGGTTTTGGACATTCATCAAATTTATATCATATTTATTTTTATGTCATATTAAAGAACTATTATTAAGCTACATAATAAAATTTAAATTATTTTTCTAACTTAATTATTTCTCGAGATATTTGAAAATAAATGAGGCACATTTTGTCAAAAATGTACTATTTTTCCGCGCTTTAAACGCCCATATCTTAGCGAGTAAACCTTGTTGGGAGGTAAAATTTCATTTTTTTCTTAGTTATAGTTTATACTACCATTATGCAAAATTTAAGAAAAATTGAAGAGGGTCGGGTTGAGAATCGACTTTTTTTGGTTGATTTGATATGGAATTCACCATATATGTAAAATATTAAAACTTATATATAAAAAAGAACATATAAATATTAATTAAATATTATGTCCGAGTTATCAATAACAAGCAAATTCTGATATTACAATCCATCTCAAGGAATTTGCCATTTTTAATTGCAATGGAATTGGTGTTTTATTTTATTCTATTATATTGATTTAAGATTAATATTGATGACGAAAATGACATTCTTCCATGGCCAATTTATAGACCATATTTTAAAATAATATCTCAAAATAAAGAAAACAAATCTGTTAGTAAAATGTTTGCCATGTCTACCGAAAAATATGCAAATTTCAGTTAGCATTATCTCAACTTGCAAAATTGTAACTTGCAAAATTGTAAAACATTTAAGGGTATAGATACTAAATAAATGTTTACAATTTTAATTTTAAATTTTAAGAGAAAACATCAAACACTCTTAATCTAAATAAAAAAGGGGAAGAAGAAAAAAATCTATTAAAGAAAATATTGGACTAGGCTCATCGTCCATTGATTTTTTTTCCGAGACCTCAGATTTTAACCCAAACCACTTTAGATGATTTAATAACTGATTTTATTATAGATAGCAATCAACCATTTTCAATTGTTGAAAATCCTTCATTTATAAAAATGATCAAAACATTAGCTCCACAAAAAAATATAATTTGCCGACAGACAGTGGTTGTTACTGAAATCTAATAATTATTTATAATCATTTAATCATATATTATATTATTTTATTAATGATATATAATAATTATTTATATTAATCATAAATTATATTAATATCTAAAAATCATTATTTTAGTTATATTTTGATAAATGTGATATCGAGTCAATAAATTTTTTAGATCATTTCTTGAATTTTCACAATAGAATCCTAATTTAGGTTTATTCAAATCAGTATCAAGATAACTTTTTATAAGCTGTATCTGTATCTAGATACATTTTTAGACGATGTATCTGTATCTAGGATCCATTTAAAAAGTAACTTTTAACAACTCTGGTAATTATCTATTAAATTTTTTAAAGGAACAGATATGATTCTCTTTTCGATAATTGTCATTACCTGGATTTTTTAATTGGCTTAGGATATATAAACTGATATTGATTTTATTTAAAACCAAAGAAGTTTTCAATGGAGTTGATTGCGGGGATAGTTTAAAAATAGTTTACAAGCTTTGATTTTTTTATAAAGTTTAAAAAAAAATACAAATATGTTTTTTTATTTATTCGTCAATGTTTCAAAAATCAAATTTATACTGTAATATACAAATGTAACAGAGCCATAGTAAAATAATATTAAAAATATATTAATACTAGTCAGAGTTCGACTAAATTAGTGACGAATAATAGTGAATTATTAATTCGTTTGTCCAAGCACATCAAGCTAATTTGCCAAAATTGTTTTTAATTTTGGTAAGAAATCTTGTTATAGTTTGATAATATTAATTAAGAAATTCGTACTGAATTCGAAACTAGTGGAGTTATAATTTTATCTTAAGGAAAATATGTTTAAAAAAATTACCTAAGATTTCCTGTTAGCGATATGTAGGTAATGTTATATAAGTATTTTATTTTTTATTGTTTATTTCATAAAGCTTCTACTCCTTGATTTCAAAAATTAAACATTGAATCAAAATAAAAGACAAAACAAAATTGTACATTACCTGAATTTATAACAACACATAAACAACTCAGGCGAGTAGCCAGAGTTCTCTAAGGTTAGGGGGGGGGGGGTAATTTTTTCCTAAATTTGAAATGATTTTTTTGAAGAATTAAAAATTTATTAGAACTAATCTTATAAAATTTATTGGAAACAAACATATTTGAAAATATGATAATTTCGAATAAAATATTGGAAAATACAAAATATTTAAGAGCGAATTACAGTTAATAAATATCATAGCTATATAAATCAGATTTGTGTATTTGACCGATCAAATACGATTCGGTTAATTGACCTATTTGACCGGTGAAATATGGTTAAATTTAAATAAATGTTTTTTAAGACAATATTAACTTTATTTTGTAAATAATAGTAAAATGAATCTATATTATTAATTTTATATATTTTTTAAATTCATTGTCAATCAATAACTAATGTTTCGCTATCCGTGGCAGAGTCTTGTTTTGATTATTCAATCAATTTTAATGTTATTGAGACTTCAATCGATGACCAATTTCTTTCTGAAGAAGCAGAACTAGGAATTATTAGTAATGTCACTTCTCTTAATGGGCATGTTGAGCAAAGCCATTTCCACTAATTTGAGGCTGGAATCTGATTGTTTCGAAGTTACTTCTTTCCATATAATTTACAATTAATTCATACTTTATTAACTTCTGAGGACCCAATAAATAAGCAGCATTGTAATCACATGTATTAATTCTATTTTCAACCATATTTGACTATGTCAAATACTCCTCAGGTCAATTGACCGTCTTGTTAACCCAGATATAAACCGGTACGCAAATCACAATAAAATATAAAATTAAACATTTTATAATGATTTAAAAAGTTAATCAAAATATCATTCATAAATAATTTAATCTTCTTTGATATTGGGTATTTTTTAATAATTTGTTGTGTTAGGTATTAGATCTCGACGTATATTAAGTAAAGCTAGTCCATTCAATCGATTTTAAGATTTCGTAATTTTGAGATAGGTTTTTGTTGTATCTGTCGATTGTAATTGACATTGACAGATATGGACGTATTTGAATATACTTTTTCGAGAAGAAAGGATTATTGTTTTTATATAATGTAATTTTTTTTGTTTATAAAAAGATTATTAAATTAGGTGTTATGAAATATTACACGGTAATTATAGATGTTATAAGATATATTTATATTTAAATGGAATCTTGAGAATATTATTATAGCCTTTGTTTTGAAAATAAAGAAAATATACAATTATGATATTGATAAGAATAAAGAATATTGTTTAATGTTTCGATATACATATATGATAGTTTTTATTCACTGAAATGAAGAAAAGGTCCTCTCATTTGTGATTGTACTAATTGATATCATTTCCAAAATTTAATGTAATTTTAATATATTTGGAATAAATGTGATGTAAAGTAACGTCTTTACTCGTTATTTTAAAATTTTTCTTAAAAAATTATGGAAAAAACATATTTTATTGTATTATAAAAATTTTTTTATTTATTTTTTAAATTTTATAAATAATTTAAGCCGAGTAATAAGATCAACTACCAAATTCCTTCGTTTTTATTTAAAATTTTTGTTGTTAAATTTTCAGTCAAAACTGTTACACTAATTAATATAATATTGAATCAATCAAGATATGTTAATTTATATATATTATGTCAGTTGTACATATTTCTCAGGTGAAGATGATTTAACCTGCCCTGGCCCCAATATGAAATATTTTTTACGCCAATAAAAAAATTAAGGGTACAAAGTGCAACTCAAATATTTCCTCAATTGTGTAATAAATAAGGGCAGTCATCCGATTAAACCGGTTATAATAAGTTTTTTATAATTCCGTGAAATTAATGGTCTTATTAATGAGAATAACCATTGACATCTCTTGCGAACAAATTGCAGAGATTTACAGATAACAACAGGTCGTTCATATATATATTGTATGGTTAGGATTAATTAAAAAATATGATATGTATATGTCGTAATTTTTAAAGGAATCACGACTATCCGGGATCTTCACGGGATTTAAAGGGATAACTAAAAAATTAGGGTTGATAATTAAGGAATGATAATACGGGATTATCACGTTTTAATCGTGATAAAGAGGAATCTTATTTTAAAAGCGTTTTCTACGAGTTTCGTAGCGTTTTTAATTTTCAATTTTGTTTTTTTTGGCCTTATGATATAAGATATGTTTAGTATAGGGTATCATTCGATAGCTAATCAAAAGATTTATTCAACTGGAGGTCAATCTCTGCCCCAGTGATAATACCGTATAGTTCTTTATCCTTTAAAAAATTGAAATTTTAAAGGGATCCCTTTAAATCCCGTGAAGATCCCGGATAGTCATGATCCCTTTAAAAATTACGACATATATATATATATGAATGTTATAGACCCTGTTACGGCTCTTCGATTTTAGAAAATTTGGAATATCTCACTCCCATGATAACTGTTATAATATTAAAACTTAAAAAAATTACTTTAAATAATTTCAAGTTTTGTAAGCCACCTATTAAGGCAATCCTGAAAGACATAGATAAAAGGTATTCATTAAAATATTGTTTATAATTTATATTTTGATTATATTTATTTTCAATAGATTCGAACAAATCTATAAAGATGAATATATAGTATAATCAATAATTCACCCACTAATTAAATTAGCCCTGGATAAATTTATAGGTCAGCGAAAGCTTGAATTATTCCCGTTTGATAAAATAATGACAAAGAAAAAACTGACTGTGATTCCTTTAAAAATTAAAACACATACCAGATTATTTTTTGATAAAAATAAAAATTTGGGATCTAAATGAAAATTTTTTTGAAGATGATCTATAGTTATTTTCAAAATAAGGATTATTCTTTAATTTTTAATTAATTCCCCCCAATTAAAATGATTATTATCAAACACAATACAATCCTCCCATGCTTTGCGCCAAACGTGTGTTTAACACAGTGAAAGATGTGTTGATCACAATCTTTTTTGGAAATCAATAAAAATATCCTATCTTATAATATATTATTTTTGTATAATTTTATTTATATTATATTAGGAAATTTTTATATTATTTAATTTTTTAAGTAACGAACGTGCTGAATAGCCAGTAACGTGCGTTCCTTTTTTCACAAGGTAACAGTGACGGTAACGCGTTCCTTTTTTTGACGTAACGAGTAACGCGTTTCTGTTTTGAGGTAACGTTTACATCACAAGGAAATCATAAATATATTTTAAAGTATGCAATGCTTTCACTGTGCTTCTTAGAGGATTATACTAATTAATTTTTTATAAAATTTTGAAATTAAATAAGCCTTCAGATACATTTATATCCTCTGAATAAAATTTAGCTAAATATTTAATTTTTTCCATATCAAGATTTGATTAGATGGATTTATACCTAAAACGAACTATTTGTTATTCGATATTCGACTCGATTCGAAAATTTGAATCGAATTCGAATAAGGAAAATATATTATTCGTCGAATAATTTTTTATCTATTATTCGATTAAAATAATAATATTGAAAAATAATCATATCTTATTAGTAGGAATTATTTGCAATTATTCCTATTTAATAAAATTTCCTAGTGGAATAATGATGAAACATTTTATATTTCAAAAATTGTTGTTAACGGCTGTTTTTATTCGAATAACTTCATAATATAAAATTAACTTCCGAAAATTGTTATATGATGGACGAAGAAAGTATTTATTTTTATATGCAATTTATAACACATATACAATTATAATAAACTAGTAGCCATCCAGTCAAGAATGGTGGTCAAACCAGATATTTCTCCGTCGTTTGATGATGGAGAAATCATAAATTTTACTTTTTGCAAAATCTTTTTGTTTAAAAAATTTGTTGTTGGTATATTTGTCTTCTACATGATATGAATATTATATTGATTTTACTACATTATATATTAAAAATTATATAGGTGAATTCCATATCAAATCAACCAAGGTTTCAACCCGACCCCCTTCAGTTTTTCTTAAATTTTGTATACTGGTAGTATATACTATAATTAAGAAAAAAATGAAATTTTACCTTCCAACACAGTTTACCCGCTAAGATATGGCCGTTTAAAGCGCGGAAAAATGGTACATTTTTGACAAAATGCACCTTTCCTTTATTTTCAAATATCTCGAGAAATAAAAGTTCTTTAAAATGACATAAAAATAAATATCATGGACATTTTATTAATATCGAAAACCGGAAATGACCATAGAAAAAAAGGTATTTTTTCAAATTTTTTTTTCTGTAGATAGATATCACACTGCTTTATATTTGTACAAAATCCTAGACTGGGATGAACATGGGTTTAGGAGTTATCACTCTTTATATGGCTAAAATTGAACAAATTTAACATTAATATCATCATATTTTAATTTAATGAATAGTTATGAAATAATGTTAATTTAAAAATTATGTCTAAATGATAGGCCCTTACTTTTTTTTATTATAAAAAAAATTTGAGAGGTGTTGGATAATGAGCTTTGTTTAGCACTTTAGTTAAATTTTGTCTCGAAGTTACTTGACAAAATAATTCTAAACATATTTATAAATTTATTTGCCTTAATTTGCATTACATATAATACAATCAAAAATTTATAATTAAAATATATCATATATTATAATCATCCAAGGAATTTTAATAAATTATGACTTTTGTTTTCGTCTAGGGGAATAAAATCTTGGAATTTTGTGTTCCAGAAATTCTCTTTGCTCTCAAAAATCTGCTTTCAAGATGACTTTCTATGTTCATATATTCATTATTGCTCACAAATATATAATTTACCCCATCGATATTATTTCTTGCATAATTAAATAAATCCATTGTTGTCAATATGTGATGTTCATATGGACGTTGCAAGCTTGCTCGAGCTGCTAACCGTTTAGTAACGGCCCCCAAAATGTCGCATGGACTTTTACCTTGTGCGGTTTCAAAAAATGTCACTCAGCCTTTATCCCAAAAGCCTTTTCATGATTGTAGAGATTAATGAAATCTTTTATTTTTATATTGGTTACTGCTCCATCACAAAAATAATAAATTTTAGCAACACTATTAAATCTTTCCTTCAAGCATACGATCAATTTTTAAAATAAATAAAATGCACATGCTTTGTGTTTTAAACAATCTGATATAACACTAAATTTACATTGTTTTTTTATGTTGTTCTCACGGTAATAAATTATAAAAGAGTTGATAGTGGCTTGATTATTAGTCTGATTAAATCCTTGTGCATGGTTCTGCACTACAAATGCATAGTTTTCTGAAAAGTCTGCAATAACTAAGAATTCGCCAACATTTAAACTGAATTTTAAAAAGTTTCGAATTAATGATTATCGTGAAGCTATAAACAAATTAGGAATTAAATTGTTTAATTATTCAATTAAATAATCTACAAATTCGTCAGCGGATTTTGTCAATGTTTCGAGGGTAGTTCGATCAACTGCTATACATTGTTTGAATGTTTTAAAATCTATAGAATTCTCGTCAAATAATATATTAAGCCTTTCTTTTAATTTTGAATATATGGGGGAAAATTTATTGTTGAATTTCAATTTTGGTAGATTATTTTTAGCTAAATAAAATAAAAATTATTTTGTCAATTAATTTTAATTTCGAGATAAAATTTAACTAAAGTTTTAAACAGCTCATTATCCCAGCCACCTCTCAAATTATTTTTTATAGGGCTTATCATATAGACATAATTTTTAAATTAACATTATTTTATAACTATTCATTAAATTAAAATAGATGATATTAATGTTAAATTTGTTCAATTTTAGCCATATAAAGAGTGATAACTCCTAAACCCATGTTCATCCCAGTCTAAGATTTTTTATAAATATAAAGCAGTATGATATCTATCTACAGAAAAAAAAATTTGATTTTTTTTTCTATGGCAATTTCAGGTTTTACACATCCGTTTTTCGATATTAATAAAATGTCCATGATATTTATTTTTATGTCATTTTAAAGAACTTCTATTAAGCTACAAAACAAAATTTAAATTATTTTTCTAACATAATTATTTCTCGAGATATTTGAAAATAAATGAGGCATTTTGTCAAAAATGTACCATTTTACTGGGCTTTAAACGGCCATATCTTAGCGGGTAAACTGTGTTGGAAAATAAAATTTCATTTTTTTCTTAGTTATAGTATATACTACCAGTATACATTAAGAGAAATTAAAGGGGGTCGGGTAGAAAATCGACTTTTTTTGTTGATTTGATATGGAATTCACCATATATATTTTCTATATTATCTTACTAATAAAATTTGTGTCTTTATTCCATAGTTAAATTTTACAAAATAAATTTAATATTCTATCTTTTTTAATTTATGGTTAAATAAAATTTTCGAATTGAATCGAATAATCATTTTATTATTCGTACGAATACGAATAATGAATTATTTGATTTAAACGAATACGAATAATGAATTATTCGATTCGTATTTTTGTAGGTATAGATGGAGTTATAAAATATAGTATTTGTAAATTGGATAGAGCCATTTAATGAATCACAAATCGTTCATTGATTTGAGTTGTATCCAGAAGTGGAATAAAAACGGTTATTTTATGTAATCCTCAATTGAGCCCACGTTAATATTGGAACGATTGTTTGTCGATGAGTCGAGGCTTGCAAATCTCAGAATCATATAATTTTGTTTTCACCTCAACAATCACATAAATCTGGAGAAATTCTTGGTCGATATTATCTCTTAGTTTTCTTAGTTGTATTATAAAAATATTCCGATTCTCATAACTTCAGCCAAATCCATATGATTTTTTTGAAAAATATTGCAAAAATTTGTGTAAATTAATTAATACATTCCAATGAAAAACATAAGCAGCCATATTAAATCTAATAATGTATCAGCTTCAGATGAAATATAAGAACATTCTGATATTTATCCAAGGGCACTCAAAAGAGGCTTTTCCAGCTCCAAAAAATGTTGTAACAGCTTGATGTCGAAGGCTCAATCTTGTAGGACATTTTTTGATTTTTTTCTTCCTGTAGCATAAGTAGCAGAATAACGTAGTTTGTTATATAAATTTTATATTAAATATTCAATAATCTTTGAAATTTATTTTTAAATTTAATAAAGGGCAGGCAGTGGAGGCCATGTTTGATTGGGAAAAGTGCTTTCTAGATATAGTTGTGACGCATTTTAGGTATTATTACTTTACTGAGATGATTAATTTTTATATGAAAAATTTTATAATTTTTATCAATTTCGGCTAGGGTTCTTTAAAAAAATCTACCTGAATTGGGCTTTTAATACCCTAAATTCAGCAATAATGCTTGGAGATCTTTGATAAAATTTTTATCGCAATAGCAAAACAAAATACCTGCCATATCAGGTTTCCCCTAAATTAATGCATTATCAAATTTCTTTTATAATTAAATATTTTTTCATGTTCTATTTTCAATACAAAAAAATTAAAAATTGTCAAAATATCTTATCTTATTATTTTTATTATATTTGAAAATAAAAATAAAGAATTCCATTTGTTGAAAATTTTGATTTGAATTAACTTGTTTTAATAATGATTTCTATTTCCTGTTTTTCTAATCTTGATATGGATTTCCTTTCTTGCTTAGGGGGAGGTAAAATGAACAATAAACTTCTAGTAAACAAATTATGGAAAAATAAAATAAGTTCATTAAATTAAGTTATAATAATACAAATTGCTTATATCCATATACCAAAATCCAAAATTAATAAAAATTGGTCACTAGCCTATTCCTTAAAAATAAACAACTAATCTTAATTATTTGTCAAATAACTAAAAATTTATGACAATGCCCGTGAATTCCGGATTTCTCTCCTCAAAAGACGTGCGGTAACCGCAGTTAAATATTCCTGTCATATAACATTTATAATTATTCCATTTGAGTAAAAACTTTCAATACTTATTCATATAATTACTATATTTAAATTATTTTACCTGCAAACATATTTGAGAGAATATGCTTTATTAAACCGATTTAGTGGCTTTTCAAGATATAGCGCTAAAGGGATAGGAGGGTTATTACAAATATCGGTAGGAAGATCTTTAATAGAATGCTTGTAAAACAAATTGTTATCATCATTGCCAAGCAGAAGACATTCCCATATTGAATTTTTTACATTTTTAATTAGATCCATATAATTATATAAATTTTGCAATCGAAAATGGAAAATTTTTCCATTGGTTTTAAAGCTAAGAGTAAATAAATGGTAGTCATCGGTGCTATCTCTGATTAAAAAAGAACCTTCCGAACTGTTTTTTAATTGTTTTTCAGCCTCAATCCATGTCAAAGGACCCCAATACCAACCAAACTTGTAATTTGCAGAGGCAAGATTTCATATAAAATAAATTATAATATAAGTTTAAATTATTATTTGAAGATCTACATATAATTTAGATTTTCGAAAAACATAAAATTTGAAGAACTTTTTATTAAAAAAAATTTCGAGTAAGGCATCATTTATAGTAAATGCGTTACGTTATTTAACGCAGCATTATTACAAAATTAAACCAATAGGTATAAATTTATAAATATGAAATGTATGATGATAACGCTATGATAAAATTTGAAAAACATGTTGCGATGCGCTGATAAAGAAATATGCGATACGATTATAAAAATAATAGCAAATTCGATAAAAGGGTATATGATTTTTCTTAAATATTGTATAAAATAATTATTTTTATTTTAGATTTATAGAAAATTAGTTTTTAAAACTGAGTCAGCTGTCATAAGGTTAAATGAGGCCTAAATACCTTTTAAAGATTTTGCTCAGAATTTTTATTAATATAACAAAATCTTTTGTAATTTAAATTTTTGGTTAAAATCTTGATCTAAATCTTTCATGATTCTGAGATTATAAAATCTTTAAAAAATTTTGCAAAAAAAATTATAAAGAGATATGGTTTTAAATTAACAGCTTTAAGGATTCTAGTAAACTAAGCTAATTGTAATTTGTGTATAAAAATTTACAGAAAATGACAAGCGAAATAAAACCCAATGATTTGATAACCTTATCTAAACAAATATATATATTATTAATATTTAAAAAATTACCATATCAATCACTTTACAACCCAACCATCTCAGATTTTGTTAAAATATGGTATTTAAGTTAATAAAGTATTGTAATTGACGAATCCAAAATATTAGAGTCTTAACTCTATTAGAACTGGATTTTTCGAAAAAAATGATTTTTTAAAATTGAGATAACTTTTATATTAGATGCACTATGAATGTATATCTATTATGGCTCATTTTATAGCCCTACGTAAACTCTTGAACATATGTTAAATAAAATTAATTTTTAGTTTATATATTTTTTTAAATTGCGGTTAAAAATTTGTAAATTTTAAAATGTTAGAGTAAATTTTTTTTTCCAAATTTCAGATATTTTGTAAAGAGTACCAAGAACTGTTCATATAAAAAATTTCAAAGCGAGGCCAAAAAAATTAATTAGAAAAAATCTCATTTTAAAAAATCCGCTAGATGGCGCAAGAAATTTAAAATATCAATTTTAACAATATAAATAAGTCAATCTAAGAATTTTTTTTTATTCCATAATAAAATATTTATCGAATAATTAATAGTAAGCGTATAATATAAATATTTAAAATAATTTTAATTTCTTTGAAATTAATTGAATTATCAATTTTTCGAATATTTTTTCCAATGATTATCCAATTAATGACGACAATGCGCAACTACCTACACTTTTTTAGAATCCTTAAATTCTACTTTAAATCAAATGGGGCATTCTCCAATAAAAAAAAAAAAGAGACTAAGAGAAAAAATATCCCAAGAAAAAGCTCAGCAGAATTTCAAAAGCTATTGGCAAAATTCTTCGACCAAAGATGAATAAAAATGATAGCGATGATTGGATAATTCATATGAAAAATAATTATCCATTATTATCTAAAACACAAAAATATCAATTATTAACGACATTACCTCCAAATTGGAGCATTCACAAAATTAATAAACAATTTTACGCTTCGTTTTATATGATCAGTAATTCAAAATACATTCATAGTCAAAAGGGGATTCTTTCAACTCCTAATCCCAAGGCAGGTAAAACCATAGATCAAAACACAGTTGACGTTGTAAAAAGTTTCTATTTAAATGATGAATTTAGTAGATTATTGCCAGGAAAAAAAGATTGCGTTTCTATAATTGAAAATGATGAAAGGATTAAAGTTCAAAAACGGTTAATTCTTAATAATTTAAAAGAAATCTATATAAATTTTAAAACTATCTACCCTTCTCTTAAAATCGGATTTTCAAAATTTGCCTCATTGCGCCCTAAAAATTGCATAATGCCAGGTTCAAGTGGCACTCACTCGGTTTGTGTCTACCTAATCCATCAGAATGTTAAGTTGCTAATAATAGGTAGCAATTTAGCAACTTTAACAAAAAATAGGGATTTTGAGATAGACTTACAAAGACATAATTCCAAAAATGATTTGCAATCCTCCACTGCCAGCCTGTTATTTTAGCGAATGTCATGGTATTAAGGGCTAAATTAGAAAATTTATTAACACATGATATATACAGGATAACGTTCAAGCAATGGAAAACTGTAAATAGAACCAGTCTAGACACCCTAACACAAACTGCTGACGAATTTCTTAATTTCTTATTTGAAAAAATATTTATTTTGATTCGCCATTCTTTTATTACTGAACAGCAAAATAGATTCCATCAGATTCTTAAAAACAACTTAAAGCTAGATCATTATTTGGTTATCTGCATTTTTCTGAAATTATTCTTTTATACTTCAAGATGAAGTCCAAAGTTATCACTGGGCCACTTTCCAGGTTACCCTACATCCATTTGGTATATATTATAAAGTAAATAATGTATTAAATCATATAAGTTATGTGGCCATATCCGAGTCGCTGGTGCATAACACTTGTTTATTTCATTTATTCCAAAAAAAATGATAAATTTTCTAAAAAATTACTTTTTATCTGAGCCAAAATACATTTATTATTATTCCGATGGGTCCGCGGCGCAATATAAAAATAGGAAAATTTTTATAAATTTGTGGACTTCGCCATCCCAGCAGAGTGGCATTTTTTTCCTACTGTCCATGGGAAATGTTTGCGATGGAATAGGGGGAACCGTACAACGTCCTTATGATAATCAAATAAAATCTCTGAATTCTTTAAATTCGCCATACATCCCATAAAGAATACCAAGATGAGCAAGAATTTTTAGAGGAACGATTTTCAAGAGCTTTTTCAATATATGGGACTCAAAAAATTCATGCAGTCTATCCTGTTAATTTATCACAAATAAATACAAAAAAATATTCTAGTGCTATTGAAGCCAAATTAGAAAAAATCCAAAATACAAAGCGAAATATCAACTAAAGATATTAAAGGGTATGTTACATGTTTATATGATAATGAATGGTGGTTATCATTCAAGGAAATTTAATTAAAATTATTTTAAATATTTATATTATATGCTTACTATTAATTATTCGATAAATATTTTATTATGGAATAAAAAAAAATTTCTTAGATTTTATATTGTTAAAATAAATATTTTAAATTTCTTGCACCATCTAGCGGATTTTTTTAAAATGAGATTTTTCTAATTAATTTTATGCCCCCCCCCACACTTTGAAATTTTTTATATGAACAGTTCTTAGTACTCTTTACAAAATATCTGAAATTTGGGGAAAAAAATTTAGTCTAACATTTTAAAAAATTACAAATTTTTAACCGCAATTTAAAAGAAATATATAAACTGAAAATTAATTTTATTTAACATACGTTCAAGAGTTTACTTAGGGCTATAAAATGAGCCATAATAGATATACATAGTGCATCTAATATAAAAGTTATCTCAATTTTAAAAAATCATTTTTTTCGAAAAATGACCAAGTTGACCCACTTTGAAGCCCTATATCTCCGGTTCTAATAGAGTTAAGACTATAATATTTTGGATTCGTCAATTACAATACTTTATTAACTTAAACACCAAATTTAAACAAAATTTGAGATGGTCGGGTTGTAAAGTGATTGTTTTGACATGGAATCAATAATTAAATGTTTTACTTCTTTATGAAGTTAAAAAAAATGAAAAATTTTTAAAAAAGAAAAAATCCACTAGTAATAAAAATTTACTATTCGACGAATATTTTTTCTTATTATTCATATTCTATTCTGTTTAAAGTCGTGATTATTATGAACAAGAATTGAAGATGACAAATTAATTCATTAAAATAATATAGTTAATCAAATCATTCTAAAATAACATAAATAAAACTAAAACGTAAAATATAAAACAAATATAAAGTAAAAATTATAAAACTTTTCCTTTTCTTCAATTATTACATTTTCGATCTCACTATTTATACTACTAAAATTTACATACCATCAATAATTATTTCATACAATTGTCATTTAATTTGCTTACAATTTAAACCTTTCAATTACTTTTACAATTTAAATATTTCAATTATACTTACAAATTTTATATTTCAAATTAACTGTTTATCTTTAAATTAATACACGTATTTGACATATTCGAATCGAATAATTGTGCTACTTGTATTCTAAAAATACGAATCCAATCGCCTAATTCGCATTAGGCTTAGTAGCGACGTTACTTTTATAAAAAAAAGTACCAATTAATACCGCTGTTTTTTTCGAGCTAAAAATTTAAAAAAAATTATATAATAGGGCCATGCTGATATTTAATATCGGATCTGTACCGATATTTAAAGTTTTCAAAAAATATAGGGTCGGGCCAATCTTTTTTAAAAACCCGATCCGATCCGATATTTTTTATTGTTTTGGTTATTTTATAATTGTATATATAATCATATAATTTTTTATTTTATAAATAATTTCTTAATAATAAATAAATGAAAGGAACTAATATACAATTTATTTGTTGTAATGTTTAACCCTTCAATACTCCGGTGAAAATAATGATGTTAGTACTCCGGTGGGGTTTAATAGACCCCAATTTCAAATGTATATATGTCCAGTTATATTTATTATTTTGATTTAATATTTGAATATAAGATAGAACTAACCTTAAACTTGATAAAATATTTATTTATTTTTATTTCTTAAGTTTAGATTAAAGATGGTGAGGATAATTATAATTTGTGCCAAAATTTTCTAAAAAAAAGCTTACTTTTTTTAAATTGGATATTAAAAATTAAAAAAATAACTTATCCATGATAATTCATAACATGGATCTTTATTCTTCAATATTAAAAAAAAATTACACTGATAAATTCAAATATAAAAAAAATATTGAACATTGAAATATGTTAAATTTGACAAT